AAGGGGCACCCGGAAGCGCGCGCGGACTTGCCACGCCGAGCCCGGCGGGCAGGGGGGCGGCGGGGAGGCGGGCGCACTGCCCGGGCCGCGGCCGGCTGTGCTCACAGGTGGGCGGCGGCGGCGAATGCGCGGCGGAGCGGAGCCGGGGTCCTCGAGACTCCAGCCGTCACACCGAGAGCCCAGCGGCTCCGAGCTGGGAAGACGCGTCCGCGCCTCGGGAGGAACCGGCCGTTCTCCCCGCCACCTCGGCCTCTTTGGCTGCAGCCGCACCTCGGCCCTGGAGCGCAGGTAACTTCCTTTCCAAGGTCATTCTTCGGGCGGGGCGGCGCTCGCGGCCCGCCCACGTCCTCACGGTCGGCGGAGGCGGGAGAGGGGCGCACTGCGCGGAGCCGGAGCGGTGGGGCTGGACGGCGACTCTGAGCGCTGCGCGGGCGCCTGGTGGCCTCCCCGGAGCCGGCTGCAGACGCCGGCCGCAGCCCCGAGGGTGAGTTTCCACCTGCGCCCAGTCTTTGGGCGGGGACCTCTCGGCCCTCCCCAGCTTGCACCGGCAGGTGAGCGCAGCCGCCCGCGCCCTGGCTGTCCTGGACTGTGTGGTCGGCTGTCACCATGGGAACGGCTGGTGCCCAGACGGCTCCAGCCCTGGTGGGAAGGGACGGTGAACGCGGTTGGGAGCCCTTAGAGCTCCCTGTCTGGCCAAGCCGAGAGAGAAAAGCATGATGAGAACGAGACACCCCCTCCCCCTCTTTCTTCTCATTTTTGATTTCTCAGGCGTTGGCGGATAATCAGAGAGAGGCGTGGATGTGTTTACAAGATGAGTTGTGTTCTTTCCACCTTTACCTTCTGAGGGCTTCTTACCACTCATGGTGACAGGTGGAAATCGTGACACAGATGGGCAGTATGAAGCCAGTGAAGGCAAACAAAGCGGAAGAACCTGAATTGGAGCCCCTGTGCTGCTGCGAGTACATAGATCGAAATGGGGAAAAGAACCACGTGGCTGCCTGTTTGTGCGATTGCCAAGATCTCGATGAAGGGTGCGATAGGTAAGGGCGGAGTGTTTCTTGATGCTGACCCCCTGGCCGTTTTGAGAACTACCATGTATACTTTAAGCTTAGCCATCCACAACACTAGAATTTGCTCCCGATGCTGTTTCCAAGGGTCTGAAATAGTCGTCTTTTATGTCAAGTGTGAGGGTTTTGTAAAGATGAATTATTGGGTAGTGCACAACTGTCTATTCGGCTCAGTTTAGTAGCACGTAATTATTTTTTTCATTTTTAAAGGGAGAAGATGATGGAGAGAACAGGCAAATAAAGGGATAGTGGCAAGTTAAATGTATAAAAAAATAAAGTACAGACCCGCAGAATCCGTACATTTAAAATGAACACATTAGTACCAGAAAGTGCTTACATTCTCAGTGGTCTCAGCATCTAGCGACCAACTACTTGAGGATGGACTGCACCTGGCCACAAAGGGTCTTGAGGGCGGAAGGATCGCTTTCCTGCTGTTGGAACTGGTCTCGCCAGAAGGCCCTCCCTTCCCCCGACTGGCTGTTTTCAGCATGGGCAGCAACACAGTCTTGACCGATATTATTGTATTTGGCTTTTATTTTCACCATTAATCCCCAGTGTTGGAAATTACTATCCAAAAAGATGATTTTTAACATCAGTGAGAAAAATTTTGTGCCCAACAGTAATAACAGGTTTTATCCATTTTCTAAATAATTATATATCTAAAAACTGTTGCCATATGGAAAGCATAATGTGGGAGAAGAATAAGGACGTTTGGGAAGTTGCTTTTCCCTTTAATAATTATATCTGGTTAAAAAAGTCACCACAGAGGAACATTGTTGACTTAGAGCTTGGTGCATCCATCTCGACATGAAAAGTGTTCTTGGGACATTGTAGTTTAGAGCCCTGAAGACCCCATAGTCGTTTTGTAATTTTTCCTTGATAGTGTCTGTAGTCTTTTTTACAGGTGTTTTTAAATGGACTCAGTCTAAAGTCCATACTGAGAAAATGGAGCACTCTGCTTTAATGAATGGAAAAATGATGCTGTTTCCACAACTTCCATCATTTGAGACCACAGCTTTTCCATTAACCTTCCAGCTCTTCCTCTCTCCTAGCCCTTGAGACCTGGGCTGTTGCTGCGTTCTCTCCTTACCTGTCTCTGGAGATAGGCTCCCGGTCTTTCCACTGTCCTGCTGCTCAGTACCACTCCCATGTAGTTATCTCCCCTCAACGTTCAAGGTGTTGCCTTACGTTTCCAAATTGTCTATCTACGGTCAGAGTTATTCCTTGAGCTGATCGTTGTCTTAGGAGCCCAAGTGTGCAAAAAATATGTACAAATACTGCGTGTCCACGAGGCTTAGTCGTTTTTCTCTTACTGGTTTGATCTCCACTCTTAGGCAGCCCCCTGGCCTTGCTGGACAGGTTTACTCCTTGGGCACAGGACAGGTTTGTGCTGTACATGTGCCTCTGCATTGGGCCGCCTCCCTGCCTCCTGTCCCCCCCAGCTCCCCACACCAGTGCCAGCCAGCCGTGGAGATCAGGCGCCGAGCCCACGTTTGTTCAAAGAGACCCATCTAGTGACTCCACCCGGAAGTGTTTACTCTCCTCTGAGCACTCCTTAGTGTTTGCCCACAAGAGTTCATTAGGCGATTTTGCTGCTTTGTCCTGAGATTTCCTGAATTCCCATGTTGTCTTTGCAACTAGATTGTGAATTGTTTTGAGGATCTTAAGTCTCTATACGCCCCCAAACGTAAACAGTACTTGTACAGAATATGTGTGTATTCCTACATATTTGCTTCGTGGAGAAGTGTTTTTTAACTGTTACATTTCTAAATGGTAGCTAGTCTCTTTCATATTAAAAAATGATACGTGATCCGAAAAGCTCATGTTTAGTAGTATAGAAGTAGAATACTTGGCCTTTGGCCCCTTTTATCATTTATCCTGCTGTTTGGCCTACGGTGTTGAGTGTTTATTTTGTTTAGCAAACCCCATGTGAAGTGCCTTCTTTTTGTGCTCTTCTGAATAGATGGATTACATGTAAATCCGTGCAGCCGGAGACTTGTGAAAGAATCATGGATACTATTTCCGATCGCCTCCGAATTCCTTGGCTTAGGGGAGCCAAAAAAGTTAACATTAGCATCATTCCCCCGCTCGTCCTACTGCCCGTCTTCCTCCGCGTGGCTTCCTGGCATTTCCTCCTGGGGGGGGTGGTTTTGACCTCCCTTCCTGTGCTGGCTCTGTGGTACTACTACCTCACTCACAGAAGGAAAGAACAGACTCTGTTTTTCCTGAGCCTTGGACTGTTCTCTCTGGGCTACATGTACTATGTGTTCCTGCAGGAAGTGGTCCCCAAAGGGCGTGTGGGACCCACTCAGCTGGCTCTTCTTACCTGCGGGTTATTTCTGATACTCTTAGCCTTGTACAGAGCCAAGAAGAATCCAGGCTACCTCAGAAATCCAGCAAGCAATGACAGACCTCTAAGCAGCGGCCAGACTGAATGCCTGACCAGAAAAGGGCAGGAGAAGACCAAAGGGTTCCCGGGCGCAGAATCGTCGGGTAGTCTCAACAACCGCACGCTGAAGGATGAGCCTAAGGGCTCTTCCAGGGTGTTGGTTGGAAGCCCTACCAAGGTCAAGGAGGACTGGTGTGCCAAGTGCCAGCTGGTGCGACCAGCCCGGGCGTGGCATTGCCGGATCTGTGGCATCTGTGTGAGGAGAATGGATCATCACTGTGTCTGGTATGTTGGGAAAATCTGGTGGCTTGCAGAGTATAAATTCACGTGAGACTCTAGCTGTGTTTGCTCCTCCTTTGCGCCACCCTAAAATCTCACTCGTTCCCAGCTTTACACCTTGCAGATATTTGTGTGCTGGCATGATATTCCCACTGAGTCACCAGCTTCCCAGTCTCACAGATGTAGTCCCCTCAGTCATTTCCTGAAGGGTGGTGGTGGTGTTGCTACTTTGCTTTTCCCTTCTGAGCTGCCCCTCTGTTACCTTCTCCTTCCTGCAAGAGAAGTATCTGCAGTTGAATGGTATTTTTTAAAAAAAGAAGGGATTGGAATCCGTATAGGCACGTTTCCCTGTGCTGTGCCTTTTGAACACAGAGCTCAAGAAAGTGTTCCCATATTTGTAGGTGACCCTGTCCCCTCACCATCCATCCTTTACCATTCTGATGACTCCTGGTCTGCATTGTTGAGGGAAGGCCCTACCAGGTACCAGGTACCTTCCTGTTTTGTTATTTGTAGAGTGGTGGGCGCTTTTTTTTTTTTTTTTAAGTTTTATTTATTTATTTTGAGACAAAGAGCAGGGAGAGGGCAGAGAGACAGGGAGAGAGAGAATCCAAGCAGACTCAGTGCCATCAGTGCAGAGCCTGACGTGGGGCTTGATCCCACAAACCATGAGATTGTGACCTGAGCGTAGATCGAGAGTCGGACACCCAAGTGACTGAGCCACCTAGGTGCCGTGAAAGTTGGGCTTTTTTGGTACCTTCCAGCTGGCCAGTGCCAAACTAGGACACCCATACTATATGAAGTGCAACTTTTGAAGACAGTGTTGCTGTTTCACTGAGCGAATCTAAAATGGTGTAGTTGATTCTGAATGCTGTAAGTAGTGCGTTTGCTGCTCTGTAGCTCTCGAGGCACTTGTGGTCAGGGAATTACGCTTTTTATGGCTAGGATGCTGAGGATTCTGGTCATGTAGCCTTCCCCCTTGCCCATAGAAGGGGACGTAGGGGAGGAGGAGGGTGCAGCAAGGCCAGGAGGGCTGGGAGTGGACCTCAAGTCTGAAATATTTGCACCAAAAGGAGCAGCAAACAAGGGGCTCTTTGTGAGCAGGGTTTCTGCAGGCCCTCGTACATCTTTAGTCTACACTCCTAGATTCTTACATCTTGTTATGACCTGGAACTATTTGAGGAATTTTTTTTTCCCTTTTAAACAACAAGGCCTCTGTGAACAAATGGTTCCAGAGAAACATTTGGTGATAGTGGCTGTGGGGGAATTGGTCTGCAAACCTTAAACCAGCAGTTTGTTGGCCATAGAGGCAAGGCCCCCCTTCTTTTTCATTGAACTGTACTTGATCTACAACGTTATATTACTTTCAGGTGCACAGCGTAGTGATTCAGCATTTATGTCCATTATGAAATGATCACCATGATGAATCTAGCTACCATCTGTATTGAGAACTTTTTAAAATGTTTGCTTTTTCTTCCCCCTATGCTGTTTTGAGGATAAATAGCTGTGTTGGAGAATCAAATCATCAAGCATTTATACTTGCCCTTTCGATCTTCTTGCTAACCTCGGCGTATGGGATAACACTGACCTTGGACACCATTTGTAGAGATAGAAGTGTCTTCACAGCTCTCTTCTATTGTCCTGGAGTTTACGCAG